GCCCCCTTCCCCCCCCCGACTCCGGAAAAGGATGAATCTGATTTCCATGCTTCTCTGCCTCTCTCCAGAGGAGTAAAATTCACGCACAAGCAGAGCAGGCACAGTGTGCGTGCTCCTGCTGCTGTTTATTTTGAGGGCCTTTATAATGTGTTTCATGGGAGAAAGCTACTCAAGAGCAAATTAGAAAATCCTATGGGATACTTGAGAGACACTATGGCTCTTACAGTGCCATTTTCAGAGGGTAGGTGTGCTTTTGGCTGTAGACCACTAAAGGTCAGAAGAACCCTATGCATTAGAAGTTAATCCTATCCTTAACGCTTAGAAAGGGATAAATCAGAGAGGTTGAGCTGGGAGCAAACGTATTGCTTCTGGAACGGCAAGGATGGCTCCTAATGCCCTATTTTTGGTTTAAATGCTTTTCAGGGGAATAGCTAAAATTCAAAGCTGTATTTAAAAGAGAAATAGAACATCAGGCTTGGAGGCAGGGATGGTTGGGGTTAATTCATCGCTGACTGTGGGGTAGAGTGAATTAAAATTTCAAAACTGCAGTATGGATAAGGAAAGTTCTGGACCAGAACTGAATACCTTTTGGGGACAGTAAGGGGGCCTGGGAGTGGCTTTCGGGGAGGGCAAGTGCCCACCGAGTGGCTTTTGGGGAGGGTGAGGGGCCACCGAGTGGCTTTTGGGGAAGGCGAGGGGCGTTGGAGTGGCTTTTGGGAAGGGGAGAGATCTCGGAGTGGCTTTTGGAGAGGGTGAGGGGCGTCGGAGTGGCTTTTGGGGACGGCTAGGAGCCTGCGAGTAGCTTTTGGGGAGGGTAAGGTGCCTGCGAGTGTCTTTCGGGGAGGGTGAGGGGCCTCGGAGTGGCATTCGGGGAGGGGCCGCGGGGTGGCATTCGGGGAGGGGGAGGGGCGTCGGAGTGGCTTTTGGGGAGTTCGAGGGGCCACCGAGTGGCTTTTGGGGAGGGTGAGGGGACGGCGAGTTGCTTTCAGGGAGGGCGAGGGGC